GTGAGTGAGTGAGTGAGTGAGTGAGTGAGTGAGTGAGTGAGTGAGTGAATGGTTGTTTGTCTCTATGCGTCCCTGTGATGGACTGGAGACCTGTCCAGGTGTCCCTATGATGAACTGGAGACCTGTCCAGGATGTCCCCTGCCTCTCCTGGATATGGGCACCAGTGATCCCCGCGACCAGAAAGGGGTGAAGCAGGTAAAGATAATGGATAGGTGCATGCTTTTGGTCAGTGGGTTGAAACAGGAAAAAACCCTCCCGTGCACAGAGAGAACATGCAAACTTTAGAATAAATCCAATAATATAATTAGCTAAAAAGGTGGAGTTATTTTGGACAACATTCTTCATTTCAGCTCATTGTTTGGACTAGAACTAGACTGCATTGGAATTGTTTGTAATGGTGCCTTCAGATGACTTCATTTATGAATTAATAGTGTTTAATTAAAAAAAGTCATTTAGTTTACTTTTATAAAAGCAAAAAAAAAAAAAATCTTTTATGGACTTTATTTCAGCAAACAAAGTCCCCCTTTGTGGTAAGTTGTCACTCATGAATGTAAAACTGACACATTTAAAATGAACGTGAAAATAATGGCAACATGAAACAGCGTCTAAAAATAATGAGTTCTGCTGTGAAATCCTTCCTAACATTATTTTTATTATTATTTTAAAGTGTTCAGTGAACAAAAAGGCAAAGAAGTTCAAAGGTTTTTCCACAAGTTCCCAGATGTCGTTCATTCAGCCACATGGTGTTTTGGCATCGTGTCTATGTTTGCCTTCAAGTTCTCCATAGAAACTGCCCATGGAAACACAGAGAAGATGAGCTTCCACGTCTCCAAAGAGCTGCCAGAGGACAGTCTGGACTTTTCTCTTTGGACAGCTCTTCCCAGTACATCAGCCGATTTAGCTGCTTTTATTGAATTTTTAAACTCTGACTTTAGTTGTGACAAACTAGCAAACAGCAATACAGCAATCTATAGCAATGACCCAGACAAGCAAAGATATAACATTTAACCTTGATTTGTGACCTTGACCTTAGAACTGGAGGGATGAGAAGATTCTGAGACGCACTGTCTAACGATGCTACAAATGTGTACCAAGTTTCATTAAATTATCTTGAGCGGATCAGAAGTTATGGAGCAAGAGAACGTTTACAGACATACAAATGGAGACTATACCATAATACGTCCTTTGATGGGCGTATACGTTTTGGTTCTTCACAAAATCTCGGATTTCACATATAAAATTAAAACTCAACATAGAGTTTCGTTTTTTACCTTGTGCTTGATTCCAGACTTGAAGTAACCAAGAAAAACGACGGACTCTTGGTTCTGGAACTCGTTGAACTGCACCGCCGCGCCTTTCAGGTGGTCATCCATCTGTGTCAGGAAAATGGCCACAGCGCCAATTTCGTCTTTTGACGCATCATCTCCTGCAATGCGGTAAATGAAACGAACAGAAAGGAGTTGAGGCCGACTAAACGTGTTGTACATTGAACAAGCAGATATACGAAGGGATCTTCAGTGAGTTTTACCAATCCATGAATGCAGGGCGTAAGAAGGTGCCGGGGTGGTGTGGAGCACGATGTAGGCGTCGCCGATGTAGAAATCTCCATAGAACTGAGTTGGAACGGGTTTCATGTCCATTTTCTCTACCCGCCATACCTGCAAGCCAGGCTTCTTCCCTGCAGCCTCAAACTCTTTGTGGACCATGATGCTCTGGGTCTGAGGAGACAAATATCATCGATGACAAGAACTTTCTCATGTTGCAGCAACGATATCAAAATGAGATATAAATATATACATTTTGACACAAACATGTTCATCTTTTGACTGACAGAAAAGGACTTTTGATGTTGTTGATATTTTACTTCCACATACAGCCTAAAGTTTCCCAGGAGCAGTCAATAACCCTCTCTTTATTTCTCAGCCAACGCTGCTCAACCTGCAGAACAAGCAATGTAATTTACTGAGCAGCTCTCGAAAGAAAACGATTTCGTGCAGCAGGGTGTGTCTCCACCTCCTCCCAAACTGTACTTTCAAGTGGCTGTGGTGTATTTTGGCGAGGAAGAGCTATTCTCCACACTCATAGTGCACACATACTTCTTATTGTTCACTATGCTGCATTTATGCCACAGTGGAAAATAAAGTAACCAACGGGGGTGGGCATTAATGTGCAAGAAACTGTTGGCAGCATCACAGAAAACATTGTTTGTGCTGTTTTTTCTAAAAAAAAAAATCACTAAAAATCTTGACAAACTGATTTAGTTTGATGCCCATCAGGCATCATGTGTGCACTGAGCTCACGTCAGTGTAAGATAAACATTCAGAGGCGAGACATGAGAGGCTGTATTACCTGCTGAAGACAGAAGTCAGATGTTGGGTGTGAAGAAGCTGTGCCACTACTCTTCCTGCTTTCTGCACATCCTGTTTGCGCTGCCCTGAGCTATATAAGCAGAAACATCCGCCCCCTCACAGGGAGGTGTCTCCAACATCACATCAGGGCTCAGCCTCCAAAAGACCACATGACGCTTTCCATGCTGCAAAGATCTCTGAAGATAGATCCAGCCCCCATTGCTTTGGCATGACTTTTTCTTTCCATGGTGGTTCTCCCAAGATTCAGATGTCTCTGCTACCCAGACTCATTCAAGTAGTTGTTCTGTTACTCATAAAACAATACCCAACACAACACTTCCACATGAAGTTTGCTGCTTTTTGTTCTGCAGGGTACAATGCATTTTTACAGCAGAACCCTTCACCACTGCAGTGTCACAACAGTTCCTTTTTGTTGTGGCAGGCTGCCATGAAAGACTGATTATTGCCAGTGTGTGTGTTTTGTGCAGTTTTAGAAAAAGAAAACACATAAATGTGTGACCCATCACATCAAGTCATCAGGACTAAGTCACATAGTTGCACACTGAGCTAAAGGCAGCTATTTGGTTTAAAAAAAAGTGATAATTGGATTTAGTCAAAAACTGAAGTTCATCTATGGGTCCTTTGAATGAAACGTGCTTTAAACAATGGTTTAAAGCCCTTTTACCAACAACTAAAGATGATTTTGTACAGAAAAGTCATATTTTTACTAGTTTTCCTGCCTGCAGCTTTTTTCTTTCTTGCTGGGAAATCCCAATATCCAAATATGTATTAAGGTTTGCTTTTTCAAACAATGTGAAAAACTCATTAGAAAATGCTAAAATGGGATTCGGACCATTTTTTCTAAGGGTTGTCCTGATAAGCAAATCAATTCAAGACAAATCTGTGGAATAGCTCATGATATGGTGATGTTGATGTCAAAATGTAGCTTAACAAGTCAGAAATCTGAAAATGTGCTTCGTTCATTTTGACCAAATCCGACTTTGTCCTGGGTTCAATCAATGTGATCAGTCACGTGTTCGCTTTGAGGACATTTTGGGTGAAAGTTTCAGACTAACGAGTTGCATTCGTGCAGGTATGTTTCTCATGTTCTTGTGAGAATGCAAATAATTAAAATGTCTGTCTGTTTTTTTAACTTTAATTGCAAACGACAGATAAACCGACAACTGTAGAGATCGCTCAACAGCTGCACAAAATCCTTTGGCCGCACACAAACTGGTTGCAGCAGGAAATTAAAATGGAGAGGCACGAGCACCTGCAGGCAGCTTTGACTCAGCTCAGTGCAGCTTTGTGTCTCCTGTTCGCCCAGGAAGAATCCATGTCATAAGACAGTGCCATATGCTTCATCAAAATGCTGCTACAGGCGGTTTGCACCTTTGTGTGAAAGACTTTAGCCCTCCCGATTGTAATAACTGCTCATATCTTGAAAAGTTATGCAACATGTCATGCAAGAGCATTTTAGGCCTTGCAAGACTGAACAGGTAGATTGTGGGTGCTAAGCCACTGTGCTGAAGTCGTGCATGGGTTTGGTCTTGTGGCTGAGCATTGGTATGTCTGAAACAGGGACTTGGTTGTGTGTACTTTACACAATGAGGCAGAATGTGCTGAGTCAGCTCTGACAGTGGGAGTGGACGGAGCCAGCTCTGACCTGAGGCGACTACCCAAGCTCACCGGAGAAATTTGTGCCTTCGCTTTCTGTCAGGTTGCCACACAGGCGTCAGCATGGCCTCACGCCGGAGCTGCTGACAGGTCTGAGCCGGACAATCACAAATTCTGGCTAAAATCAACACAAACATATTTGCCAAATCATCCGTGCAGGCAGAAAAGCTGGGTGTTTGTCATGGGTTTTAAACTGGCTTCCAAGAAATGGCCAGCTGTTCTGCTTATTAAAGAGCCTAGAAGTTACCACCCTGCTTTTGGGCTTGTTTTTTTCACCACTCTGATACTAACACGCACGTTAGGTTTTCATACACCAGTATTTAAACTTGAGCTTGTATACATAAAAGGAACTGCTTGTGGAAATTGCTTATATACATAAATTAATATCACATCTGCACCAGATGTGTTGTGTTGAGTGTACACAGAAGACATGGACAACCTGCAGAGAAGTAGTCCAGTTGGACAGGCAGTATCAATACACTTAAGCAGACAAGCTTCATTCATTTATAAACTATTTAACAGAGGCTCATCAAATATGATTCATCACCTGGCTCCATAAAATGTGGGAGATGATGTCATAGCCTTACTTTCTTTGTTTGGACAGATTTTAAGGAAACCCTCAGAAAGTATTCATTGCACGTCTACAACTGATTGATGTTTGTAGTCCACCTGATTCAAGATGGCCGTTATGGCTATTTGACCTTGACAGCCACAAAGGTGACTGCAGCTCAGTCAGTTTTACAAATAAAGTGCAGGAATCTAAGGTGGTAGTAGCTGAGAGTCACCCTGCACATACAATCTGAGCACTGAGACTCTACAAAAGTGGCAGGTGAATGTGAGGCCTTTATTTCTGACCAGTTTTTTATTTTATTTTATTTTGTAACAGTTTAAGCTAAACATGCTTTGGGCCATCATTTTTCAAGTTAATTTGATTTTCTCAGATGTCAGTATGTTCAACTCAGTATTTCAGGAGTCTGAACTCAACCTTATGACTTTTAAACATTTCCAATTCATTTGTGGGAGTTCCTGTGCTTGGTCACCAGAGGGCGCCATATTCCCACACCTGCAGACAATGTGTTCCTGATGAGGCGCTAAGGGTATATAAAGCAGATGAAGACTCTCCTTCAACACTGGAGCATTACCCTGCTTATGCGAACCTCATGAGACCTATCTGAGCACTTGAACCTCCTCGTGAAACTCCTGGAAACCTTACCTGTGTACCTGAGTTATTACGCACTGTAAATAAAAGCGTTGAATCAACTCTAGTGTGTCTGAGTTGTTCATCTTCAGTCCGTTCATCCTGGATATTCCATTGTTGTGACACCATTACAGGATCCTGTCATGCTTTATGTTTTAATTTATTTTGTTTTGTTGTTGCGTTAACCTTTTGTATTCACATGGTCTTGATATTGTAATGATGTGCATTGTGTTTTGTTAATTTAGCTAACGTGTTCTGCTTTGCTCATTCAGTTGGAACTTCCTGCACATTTTTATTTTTGTTCCTTATCAGCACAGCTGCAGATACTTTGCAGTTCCCATATTCAGTATTTGTACTTCAGGCATATTTTACACCTCTTTAGTTTGTCAACTTTCCTGTTCACTCATTCATGCTTTCAACAGCTGCTTCAGCACCTTTTCTGTAAACCAAGCTACTATATATTATTCTGCCTGGCTACTGCCTCCATGAACTGTGACAAATCCAAAATAAAGATCATGTTGTTGCCTTTGATGAGTTTTTCCTACAGAAATGCTTCTTGCTTAAAATGAGCAAATGTTGAATGTATGCTGCTTATTATGCAATAGTTTGTTTATCAAAACAACCAAACAGGCAAAAAGTGAAGTTAAGGTAAAATTGGTGTTCACTGCCAGGAAGAGTATGATGGAGTCTTTGTCTCAATGGTTCTGGTATCAGAGTGTCGTGTTCACACGTGATGGTGGGATGGAGTGGGAGATGAATCGACACATCTGGGTCTCATCCTCAGTAATGAGGGAGTTGCTTCAGTCTGTCGTGGTGAAGAAAGAGTTGGGCCGAAAGGCAAAGCTTGCAATGTACTGGTCTGTCTACGTTCCAACCCTGACCTGTGGTCACAAGGTTTGGATCAGAACTGAAAGAACAAGATCCTGAATACAAGCAGCTGAAATGAGCTTTCTTTGTACAGAGTAGAGCCGCTGCTTCTTCGCATCAGACGAAGTCAGCTGAGGTGGTTCAGAAATCTGATTATGTCTCCTGGATGCTTCCCTGTGGTTTTTTGGGCACGTCCGACTGGTAGTGGGCTTCGAAGCAGACTGAGAACTCACTGGAGGAATGGCATACTTTCTCTGGCCTGAGAACGCCTCGGGGTCCCCCAGGAGGAGCTGGACAGTGGTTCTAGCAGAGGTCTGGGTTTCTGTCCAGGACCTGTTGCCTCCTCGACCTGACTACAGATAAGTTGTAGAAGATGGAGATTGTGTTTCACTAAAATCTGCACTGTGGTTCACGAGGTATTTTGCTAACAGACAACACATACACACATTATTTATGGTTTATGAGACAGTTGTGACTTTTGGTGTAAAGAGGACACAACATCTGTCAATATAAAAATGTTTCCAAAGATTTTATTGAACATACAAACACACACCTGCACATAATCACTACTGAGCAGTGTCAGAAAAACAGTTTTAGGCTCATTTCAAACTGAAGTAAACGCAAGTCAGCAAGTTTACTTCTATAATATATTTAAATTAATATTTTATGGCAATATTCTCGGCTCCTCAGCAATCCCCGTAACTCCTCATAACACCCTTACCTCATTTAACTGGGTTTATCCCAGACATACACTGGATTTGTACTGGATATAAGAAGAGAGATCAATAACCAAAAGTAAATATGGCATAATGCTGCAAGAGAAGAAGGAATTTGAGATCCAGTGTATGAGTTCACCTGCAGAGTACAGCTGAGAGGCAGGTCAGGACCAGGACTGCATGAAGACAACTGTTTCTAGAAATGTAGTGAGGGGATTTGTACAATGTTAATCATAAAAGAATGGCTGAAGAAACTCTATTCTTTTCTGGAAAGTCAAATTATTAAGTAATAAGAAAACAAGTGGGCAAAAAAGAAGCAGTTGTGGACAAATAATAAATGGAAAACTTGCCCAAAAAAAACCCAACCCAGATAGTATTTGAGTATTTTGTACTGGAAACTAGTTAATTGACTTGGTATTTTGTTTAAACCCCTTTTGTTAAACGTTCTGTAAAGATCCTAAATCGTTTTAAAAGCATCAGTGGAGACACAGAAAAGTGGCTGATTGCCACAGTCATTAGGATGCTTGTTTAGACTTGCTGGTTTTAACCTGTGTTGATGCAAATAACAAGAATGTTGATGTTGTCTTCAAAATGAGTTAATTTAGGACC